TATTGCTATAGAAACGTAATCCGTCCGGTAAAGGATACACTGTAGCGTCTCTGTAAGTACAAAAATATTTCCTGACCGTTATGTAGCGAAAAAATATACTTGGCGGGAGACGCTACCGCGTCTCCTGATGTATGTATAGTCTTATTCCATCTGTTTTCTCTGTTTTAACTTCCATGATAATATGAACAGTACTTTTTAATATAATTTTAATTATGTAAACGGTTTTTATTAACCCTTGTTTGACACACTGGGGTGTAACACACCCCAGGCCCATTAACTTTTCGTTAATTTGATGTAACCCTGAGAAAATCGGGTCTTTTTAAAAGTACTCAATTTTATTTTTTGTCCATATCACTCATATAACTTTAAAAAGTAAGTTCTTGAGAAGCTATAAAAAAATTTTGAAGTTAAAATATTTAATAGATTATTTGTTATAACAATTTTTGTGCTGGGGTGCAATCCACCCCAGTGTGTCAAGCACGTCACGCCACAGAAGTGTGGCAAGTAAGGGTTAATAATTCACTGTATAAATTGGCAAGATTTGTTCTTAAAATACCTAATTTTCATTAAAATTATTTTTAAAAAAATTTATAGAAAGTTTCAAATTATTATACTATTAAATGAACAGATAATATCCCAACTTCTGGCTATATGGAAAAATAATTTACTTTCTATTTCTGCAACAATAATTTTTTATTAAAAAACATAATTATTTTAACTAAAGAATCGCGCTAGTTTCACTTCATTTCATAAAATAACAAAAAAATGGCAGCTTTTCTTCGAAAAAGTGGCGTTTTCCAAAACGGCAACTCATTTATAATTAATTTTAGATTATTAAATAGTTTTTTAATTAAATTGAATAATACCGTTGGATTTGTGAGAAAATTTTACCCCAAAAAGTATGTTTTTCAAAACATTTCTGTTTTTATCTTTAGGAAATAAAATGTACAATTTAAGATGTCGTATCCAAATTCGCACCATTGTCCATTAGTGGATGCTCAAAAAAAGTGTATCATTTGAAGGTTAATACTGATTGTGATATTATCAAAATATAGCCTAAAAGATATAGAATAGAAAAAATTGACAAAAAATAAGTGAAAATAAATAAAAATAATAAGAAAATAAATATTTTATTATTATATTTATTGCACACGTACTTCTGGTTTTATATAATACATTGTAAATATTCATTGTATTTGCACAATGCACGCGATCAGCGCGCGATATATTGAATATACAAATGTAAAGATAATAAGATAGAACTAAAGTAACGATAAAAATAACGACAAATTTGTTATTGTTATTGTTACTGTAAAAATGATGACGTCACCGTTACCGTTACAGATAGAGAAAAAGTTAAGATTGTTATCAGAAAAAATGTAACAAAAACAGTAATGGCGTTACAAATAGCGAATTATTTTCAAACATTGCATATTTATATAGCAACAAAATATATTCGAAACTCAAATTTTGTATAAAAAGATGAACAAGATATATCATTTTTATGTGAATATATCTATTCAAGATACTCAATAAAGATATTATGTTTTACTTATTTTTCATTAGACCATCCGGAAATTCCAAGTAGAATGGGAACAATTAATAATGTGAAAAAATTTGATGCTGAATTCTTCGGTTTTTCTTTCGAGCAAGCACATACACTCACTCCCGAAATAAGATTGTTACTGGAACATTCTTATGAAGCAATTATCGATGCAGGAATCAATCCAAAGCAATTACGAGGAAAAGATACTGCTGTAATTGTGGCGTCATCTTATGTTGAATTGCAAAATATATTTTTATATAAAACTACTCAGGTAGAAAAAATTATTAACTAATATAAATAGTAAGAAATTATGTGATATTATATTATGTTCTTTATAAATTATTACAAATTAGTGTAATTAATTTTAAGAACAAGAAATTATAATGCGCTATGATTTTGTAATTAGTTAAAAGGTCACAATCTTATTGGATGTAACAAATCTGCACTCGCAAACATGATTTCATACCATTTTGATCTAAAAGGACCATCATATGTTGTCGATACAGCATGCAGTTCTAGCCTTTATGCCTTGGCCGCTGGTTATGATTGTATCATGTCGGGCATATGCGAAGACGCAATAATTGGAACAGCAAATATATGTTTTACTGCCGTTGTAAACCTACAATTTTCTCGGCTTGGTATTTTTTAAAAGTTTAAAATAATTTAATTTTAAAATAATAAATTTCTTAATACTTAATAAAATTAAAGAAACACATCTCTTAACATAAAAAGTAAAATAAAATTTAACTGATTGAGAGTAATTTTTATAAAAACATTTATAATAAAATTTTTGCCAAAATTGAATAACATCTTCATAAACGAA